TGTCCTAATATTTATTACTCAGGGACTTAAAAAATCACCTTTTTGTGAGAATGACCCTGTTGTAAAGTCTTATAAGCTCTACGTATGCGAAAGATTGTTCGCAGGTTTTCGAAATTATGCAGCTTCATCATTAAAGTCAAGATATTTACGTTAAATATTTTCTATTAAAATGATTCAAAAAATATTTGAAATATCTTACCAAATGTAGTTGAAATCAATATAACTTGGCAATGCCGGCACATTACTTTTAATTGCTGTTTCCAATATCATGCAAATTAGTTTAATTGCCATTTATTAAAAATTATAATTAATATATTATAGTTAATAAAAGCACAAAGGTTCCCACACTTAATACTTTAATCAACCATTTATGATTTTTGAATCCTACATTTATTTTTATATCCCATCAATAATTCGATGCTCCTTTAATATTTCAATTATTTTCATAAAATCAAGTAAGTTAATTGCTAGCAAAAAAAGCAATACGTTTAATGATGAAATGGATGCATCTTTCTTATATAGGGGAGAGGCGGCACATGTGAACAAATTTTTTTCTTTCTTCATTTTTCAAAAAATATCATCAATTTCTCACAGTAAAGAAATCCATATGTTTGAATAGTCTTTTCTTTGTCTTATGGAATTTTTTGAGATTTTTCAATAAAATATTTCTTTACTTTATGATATTTTAGAAACATGACTTCAATTGTTCACATGTGCCCCTATTGGGGGCACATGTGAACATGCCTGGGACACATATGAACAAGATTAAAAACACAAAGCAATCATCATATTTCAAAGAAAAAAATCTTTAACATAACAGATATAGATACGCATTATACTGAAGGGGTTGTAGCTTACTGTGTGAATTTAAATTGTTCAACAGTACTGTCAATAAGAAAATAATTTTTCAGCTGTACAATAATTTTTCCGCTGTTGGGTTTTTCGCAACTTCATGTTACTCAGAAGTTGTAATGGGACTTTTTCTTTCTTCTTTAATGCTCTTTCATGCTTTTTTTTTTTCATTTTCCCTATCTTTTCATTTGTAGCTTTAGCAATTCTATCTTTCTCAAGTGTATCAGTTAGAATGCGCAATCAACCATTTAATAAAAAATAAATTAAAAATTTAAAAAAATTTATAAATTAATTATCGAAAATTAAATAATAATAATTTTAAATGCATACATATTTTTTAAGCTTAAAACATCATGAGGATAATAATCTTAATACTATGTAGGGCACATGTGAACTGTTCACAAGTGCCCCATCATCCTTCTTAAACCTAATTTGAAAAATAAAGAATTTTTAATTGAGTAAAAAAGAAAAAAATAATTCTCATAAACTTACCTGAATGTTCATATAATGGTCTGCAATAGTTAATTTTAGTTTATTAGTTGATTTATACTATGCTTTCACTTGAAGAAGCGAGTGATTATAATATATACAACAGCAGCTGATACAAAAAAATAGTCAGAATAGAACAACAAATGTTCTGAAAGTTTTGCAGAGAGGTAGGACAAGTACTGCCATCAATTGAAAATTTTTCAAGATTTTTTATTTCAAATCATATTGGTAAAACATACCATGTTCACATGTGCCCCCTGTTCACATGTGCCCTTCTCTCCCCTATATATAAAAGCGAAGTTTGTATGCATGTTCACTAATCATTAGAAAACAGAAGTACCGATATGGATCACTTTTTCTTCTTCTTTTTTTTCCCCTGCAGTTTAGAAACTTTTATGTGGTGGTTTGTAAACAATCAGCATTTCCAGCCGTATAGTAGTTCGAACGCAATATTGAAAATCCGAAGTTTAATTATTGCAACCTATTGTAACAGATTAAACTTTCCCTAATATCTTCTGAACGACTTAACCAATTTGCAAGGTGTTTCTTGTAAACACGTTTTTTTCATTGTTTCACCGTTGCTTCTATACAAACAGCATCGTAACGATGCTGTAGTACAAAATGCTGTAGAGGTAATACAGATAAATAAGATTATTAAACCGCTTTGAAGGCCTAGATCAGTTAAATCTCAAATTCTTAATCATAAATTTTTCTACACAAAAAGGTTTTTTAAGTACCGCTTTATGAATTACACTGTCATAAAACTTAAAGATAAGAGGATGAAACTGTTTTAATCTACTCATTTACAAAATAATTATTAGACTTTATGTGGTTGATTTTTTCACAATTACTAACGAACTTTATTTATAAAATCGGGGTTTGGCATAAACGAAGGTCGATCATTTAAGGTTCCAAAGCCAAAAATGTTGGCAACCGTTGCCTTGGATGATTATAGATAACTTTTTGCTTGTTTGAAATAGATGGAACACACACAGTCAAAATTTATGGGTTTTTTTCTTCTTTTTTTTTAAAGAAAAAATACCGGTATTGAAATAAATAATTAAAAATTATAGGCATGTATTTTCCTTCAAGTACTGAGAAAAATTTAAAAATGACATCATCCATAGAAATTTGAAATTACTTCGTTAATTTATTATGAATGTATTTTTGTGGGATCCAACATGTTTACGGGGGTGGATTAGAGTTCATTTGGGGGGGTTAAAAGCTTGAATCCAATCCATTAACTGTCTTGGAATGAAGAAGTGTGGTCGGACATATGATCTTCAGCGGCACTTTTTACTGCTAATTAATTGTGACCTAGGAGGTCTGAAAACGAAAGGAAGTCTGTCGCCAAAAAGTTTTCCGGTGCAGAATAGGAGGTACGGACTTATTTTCAATCGTCTCCCCCCCCCTTTTTTTTGCTGGTGTACTCCAAGATCCCCCTTTGCTGATGAGAACATCATGAGGTTACATTTCGCGGAATGTTAAAAAAGTGTCTCTGAAAGACGATACAGCGTCGAAATTTCACTTATTTCTTCTTATTTTATTATTCTTTCTTTGCAGTTGCATTTATACAACTTGTGAAATTCTTTACGTGATTTCAAATTAGTACGCCTTTTAAACGATAGATACCATCTTACGTAGAGGTTTGATCTGGGCTATAGAACGGACAAATAACATAAATATTTAAGAAATTAATGAATCTTTTTTTAAAAAATTGCCAATTTGGCGAGACCATCCAGGTAAAAATTATACATTTCATTGAGTAATTCCGAATTTTTATAAGATCAGATATTGCAGCATTGGAGTAGCTTTTTAAATATTAAAAAATTGGTTTCAAAAACTTTTTTTTCTCCACAAAACTATGATTTGTTCTTCATATTGACGGTTCGCATGGTTTTCGGAATAACGCAGAGGGTGCGGTAAATATACGTTCAACTTAACTTAATAGTCATGAATAACAGTTGCGATTTCAAGCAGTTATGAAAATAGCATATCAAACATACGTTCAACTTAACTTAATAGTCATGAATAACAGTTGCGAATTCAAGCAGTTATGAAAATAGCATATCACTGAAAAATATATATATATGTTACTGTGAATGGCTGAAAGTGGTGGTTGTTGATTTCTACCGGTGAATGTTGACAATCACATAGTCGCTTTAGTAAATGTCCGAAATATATACTAGGTCTAGTAAAGTGCCACTACCCGGTATGCCCTACATCAATCTTTTTTTAAGGTTTACTGCCAATTCCCAGTATACATTTGCCCGATATGCCCTAAAATCAATAATTTTTAAGATTAAGTGCCACTGCCCAGTATGATTTTACCGGTACTCGGAACACTGATGTTTCTCCTAATCTATCCTCAGCAGATATTAAAATATCGAATAAATATAATAATATCAACGGATAAATTGATATCAAATTGGATATAACAAATATTTCGGACATTCAGAAAAGCGACTATGTGATGGTTGGCATTCACCAAATGTGTTGATTTTCACCGGTAAAAGTCGACATTCTTTTGATTTCTTTCATTATTGTAAAGTGATATATATATATATATATATATATTAAATCATTTAGTGAAACGAATATA